CTAACAACCAGAAAATAATACAAAAAAACTGAAAAAGCATAATGATGCTAGGGCAATTGGTGGCGAATGACCTTCATTTTGAAGACGACAACTCAATGTAATATATTAATCACTTAATCACATAACTATTAATCCACTCAATAACTGTCAATGTACCAGTGACCTTATGTGCAAATGAATTACAATTATCTCTTTCTGAAATTAGCGTTGGCTTTTTAGCAAGTTGTTGACTGAAGTCGACCTCGTCAAACTTCACATCACACTGTGCTTTATCCCCTAATTGACTCTCAAAGGGACTGTATTTTACAAAATGAACACTGTGCTGTATTGAAGACGACTTGAAACTAGCGATTGAAGCCATAAACACTTTTCGCAACCGGTGGAGTCGCCCTCTGTGGGTCAGTCAAGAGAATACAGGTTTCAGGCCCTTCCACATTGGCTCCACTTTCTGGACACGGAGTCTACGATCCTATTTTATATGAAGCAGATGCTGAGGGGGTTAAAGGTCATGTTAGGACCTGACCTCAGAGGTATTGTCCAGGTTTAAACAAATCACAGACTAGTCAGAACTGTGCACCCTCTGACCAAATGAATGAAAGTGCATCCAGAGTTTTTTTAAAGGCTAATGTGTGGAGGAGGGAAAATGTATGAAATTACTTGTTATGAAGATATGATTGAATACCTTGTAATTAAGTAATTGTAACAAGAAATCAGATTTTCCATCAGAGTCAACTCTGCAGCAGGACAAACATGGTTTCTTCACCCTCTGGGATTCCAATGGTGAAGAGAAACCTTGGAATGAGACAACTTCTGTATACATGCCACACATTCAGCGGCCAGCTCAGGAAAAACCCCAATTTAAATTACTGCACAAGCTGGTCACTGTTGGAGCCTGTGAGCTTATGGCCTGTGTTGAAGCAACAAGCAGTGTTTTGTAATAGGGGAACTATCTTCACTGGGCTTCCAGTGACAGTAGCTTGAAAGACCTTTCAGCAGGAGGAGGAAGTGCACCACACAATGCCAAGTCATTTTCACACTTTAGAATGGATCGTGGAGAAAAATACTTGAATTTACAGGCTGCTTCGTTTTGTCTGTTTGTTTGCATGACACATAAATTCCAGAAATTAAAGGAGTATAAATAACACAGAAGGGAATTCTGATCAGCATCAGGCAAGGGTGTGGCAGAGGTACTAAAATATTACTGTTGGGGGCTTCTTTTAAACTGTAGGCAAAGCAATAGCTACCTCCATGAAATACACATACAAATTCCAAAAGTGAAGTGCATTTATGTGGGTAAAATCTAAAATTTAATATCAACAGCTGATTAGAGAGCAGGAGAGGAGGGCAGTGGAAAGAAAGAGTGAGGGACAGAAATTTCCATCCTCCTCATCCTGTTGTAAACATAAGAGTAAGGAAAGTTTGGAGAAGTTTCCCCCTCGGTCTTAAAAAGTTATTTTCCAGAAAAACAAACATATAAGCATATACACTTTGCAATCAAGCAGCTTGATATTTATCCATCAACTCACCAACATCTGCGCTGCAGAGAGCCTGCTGAGGATGAGCTGGGGAGCAGCTACAGGCTTCTGCTCCTTCCTCCACCCGCCACAGACACAGGATGGCCAGGGTAACAAAGCAGCTGCTCACCGTCCAGGTCATCTTAAGCACACAAAAATTAAAACAAGGAGCTGGAGGGAAAAATGTGAAGGCAGCAGGGCCAAGTTCCTTAAGAGGAAGTTTTAAAAATGTCCCTTTCACTCAAGAGAATCAAACACTGAAGTCTGCTTGTCAAACTCCACACATATACAACTCATGAAAGGGACTTGGGTCCAGCTGAAGTCTGCAGCACTGAAACCTCCTCCTGTTTTCCTCCACAGTCTGGAGCAGCCACCCTATTTATACACACACAGACTGTAGCATGCCTCCTCCCACACTGAGGCCTCAGCCAATGAGGAGGAGGGTACAGAGGTCAGGGTCTCCCAGAGTTTACACATCCACCCACAACACCCACGTCACCCGAGCTGCTTCATGATGGGCTGCCTCACTGTTTACATCTAATCACTGATGCACACAGAGACATGCATTTATCCTCCTGTACATTTCCTTACACCCCTCATAATTAGCACATAACCGTAAGTTTTTATAATATAAAATCCC